GACAGCTGGACTGGGACAATATTTCAGTTCTATTCTGCCCCCTCCCCTGCCTGCATTTCCTTCATTCACGTAGGAATCAGGGTAAAGGTGTCTTAGTGGAGGGAGAAGAGAAAACAAAACTCCTGGCTTTTGCTTTCAAAACTTAAGGGAGAATATTCTTGGCAGAGACAAACTGACGGGCCAGAGGGGCGCCTGGGTGGCTCAGTCGGTTAAGTGTCTGACTTCGGCTCAGGTCATGATCTTGTGGCTTGTGAATTTGAGCTCCAAGTTGGGCTCTGTGCTGACAGCTCAGAGCCTGGAGCCTGCTTCCAATTCTGTGTCTCCCTCTCTCTCTGCCCCTTGCCCAATAGCACCCTGTCTCTCTCTCTCTCTCTTAAAAAATAAATAAACATTAAAACAATTTTTTAAAAAAGTAACTGGGCCACAAGCCAGCACAGGAAATAATTTCCCCTGTATCAAAAAAAACAGCCCAAAGATGTATATTTGAAAAACAATAAGATTCTAAAAAGCTCTAAAGAAAAAATGATCTCATATTTCTTTGTAACCTTGGAATATTTTCTAACTATGACTCCATATCCAAAATCTGTAAAAAGACTGATAAAATAGACTACACAGAACAAGCAAACAAAAAATCGCCAAACATGGCCAAAAACACCTGGGGGCACCTGGGTGGCTCAGTTGGTTGGGTGGTCGACTTCGGCTCAGGTCATGATCTCACGGTTCATGGGTTTGAGCCTCGTGTCGGGCTCTGTGATGACAGCTCAGAGCCTGGAGCCTGCTTCGGATTCTGTGTCTCCCTCTCTCTCTGACCCTCCCCTGCTCACGCTGTGTGTATGTGTCTCTCTCTCAGAAATAAAGTTTTTAAAAAAATCAAAAACACCTTAAGGAAAATCCAAAGGTGAATGAAAAATGGAAACAAAAATATTTGCAGCTTTTATCTATAAACGGAAAGGAAAAGGCCAGCTACCCAATAGAAAATTAGGCAAACACAATAAACAGACAGTTCACAGACAGGGGAAAACATCATAAAGATGTTTGGTCTCGGGGCACCTGGGTGGATTAGTCGGTTGAGCGTCCGACTTTCACTTAGGTCATGATCTCGCGGTTTGTGGGCTCGAGCCCCACGTCGGGCTCTGTGCTGACTGCCAGCTCAGAGCCTGGAGCCTGTTTCAGAGTCTGTAACTCCCTCTCTCTCTGACCCTCCCCTGCTCACGCTGTCTCTCTCTCTTGAAAATAAATAAAACATTAAAAAAAAAAAAAGAAGTTTGGTCTCTTTCCTAAGAGACAGATAAATTCAAACTAGGCTGATACTATCTTCCCTCTAATAGACTTAAAAATCTGGAAGCTTAATAACACCTTCTATTGGCAGAGTCGTAGGGAAACTGGCACTCTCATTGACTATGGAAAGAGAGGAAACAGGGATAACCCTCATGGAGGGCAATTTGGCAGCAATTTGTCAAAATTACTATGTATTTACCACTGATATGGTAATTAAACTCTGGGATTTATCCCAAAGTGTGAGATAATAAATCCGTTGCAGCAATGTTTGTAATAGCAAAAGATTGGAAAAAACCCACTGGTCGTCAATAAGGGAGTGAATGAATAAATTATAATATGCCTATATACTGGGCTATGCATCTATTAAAAAATGAGGAAGTTCTTTATATGTTGCTACGAAAGAACTCTAAGATATATTATGTGGAAAAACAAAAATAAAGATAAGCAGGGTACATAACAACATGGCTGTTAGGACCCCTTCCTTCCTTCCTTCCTTCCTTCCTTCCTTCCTTCCTTCCTTCCTTCCTTCCTTCTTTCTTTTTGAAAAGAGGGGGAGAAGTTCAAATCTATAAGGGTTGGCATATACATAAAGAAACACTATAAAGAAACTTAAGAAACAAAAAATGGTGTTTAAATAGAATTTTTAGGAATCTATTTAACAAAAAAGTGCAAAACTTGTTTACTGAAAACTACAAAACATCGTTGAAAGAAAATTTAAAAGACCTAAATAAATGGAGAGACATCCCATGTTCATGGATTGAAAGGCTTAATATTGTTAAGATGGCAATATTCCCCCAAATTATTCTACAGATTCAATGAAATCCTAATAAAAATCCCAGCTGGCTTTTCTGCAGAATCTGACAAGCTGATCCTAAAATCGTATGGAAATGCAAAAGATGCAGAAGAGCCAAAGCAATCCTGAAAAAGAAAAACATAGCTGGAAGACTCACACTTTTCAATTTCAAAAACTTACTAGAAAGCAATAGTAAATAAGACTGTGTGGTACTGACATAAAGGTAAGTATAGACCAATGGAACAGAATTGAGAGTCCACAAATACAGCCTAACATTTATGGTCAGTTGATAAGGGTACCAAGACAATTCAATTGGAGAAAGGATAATCTTTTCAACACATAGTGCTGAGACAACAAAATAGCCATGTGTAAGAGAACAAATTTAGACCCCTACCTCACACCACACACAAAAACTAACTCACAGTGGATCATAGATCTAAATGTAAGAATGGTGGATAGAGACAAAGTAGATTAGAGAGAGGCTAAGGCTGGGGGTGGGGAGGGAATGAGGGGTGGGGAGTGATGAAAATGTTCTAAAATTAGATTACAGTGATGATTGCACCAGTCTGTAAATATAATAAATAACATCGACTTGTACACTTTAAATGGGTAAACTTTAAGACATGGAAATTCTATGTCGATAAAGCTGTTTATTCCAGGGGAGGCAGGAACTGGGCGGATGGAGGACAGGGAGGGAAGGAAGGCTTCATAGTATATACATTTTTATATGGTCTGGGCTTCCGGTGTGTGACCACTATTTACTCAAAGAGCCGATTTTTAAAAAAGTTTACTTATTTATTTGGGGGGCTGGTTAAAGGCAGAGAGAGAGACCCCTAAGCAGGCACTGCACAGAGCTGAGGGTGCAGAGCCCCATGCAGGGCTCGAACTCACAAACCGTGAGATCATGACCTGAGCCGAAATCAAGAGTTGACTGCTTAACCAACTGCGCCACCCAGGCACCCCTCAAAAAGCAATTGTACAACACAAAAGAATCAAACAAAATTAAAAAGAGACTTCTGACCCTTCCCTCATTTGGGGACAGGACAAGCAGGATGCTAACCCCTGTGAAGCGATGGCTGGGTGGACAGAGGGTTAGACTGGGCAAGGCAGTCCTAGAGAGCTTCCAAGACTCATTCATGCTCTGGAAGCCACCAAGCTCTGAAGTCTGACAGGGACACAGTACCCGTTTGGGTGTGCTGCCACCTGGTTCCTCCCAGAACCATCGTCCAGCCCCAGCTCAGGGCAGGAAAACTCCAGGACTGACACAGGCTGGGCAGAATAGAAGTCTTAGAAAGAAATTCTGCAGCCCTTCTCAGAGCCTTTACTTGTGACTCCTCAAGGGGGGTTCTGGCAGGTCCCAAGCCCTTTTGAGGTTTTGAAGGACATCTGGTGGGGCAGAGGCTCCTCTTCATCGTGCAGCTGAGGAAACAGAGCCTGGAGAGGGGAAGGACCCATCCAAGGTCACACGGGGAGTTGGTGAACACGGGGAGCCTGAACCCCTGAGTGCAGGCCAAGACCGATTCTGCCACCCCAGGCAGCCTCAGTCAGCACCAGGTCAGGTTCTGACCCATTCCCAGCCCGTGGTCCTGGGGGCCCCGGCACTTTCACCCTGTGTCAACATGGGTATCTTCGCCTGGTCCACCTGTCTCAGAAATTTTATACATTTGAGCCCTTTGCTGGGGACATGTCTGGGGACATGGTTACTGGATGAAAAAAGGAATCAGAGAAAATCTATGCTCCTTGACTGACACGTGGGAGGCAGAGCAGCAGCGAGTGGTATGTGAACCCAGGCTGTGCCACCCTGGACCCTGACAGCCCCTCAAATCCGGCCTTGGGTCCCATCTGCGCAGTGATGGACTTGGGCTCATCAGCTCCACCGACCTGTGCTTCCCACTTTGTGACTTTGAAGGAACCTTTAAAACCCTGATGAGGGGCGCCTGGGTGGCTTAGTCGGTTGAGTGTCCGACTTTCGCTTGGGTCATGATCTCGCGGTTTGTGGGTTCGAGCCCCGTGTCGGGCTCTGTGCTGACTGCCAGCTCAGAGCCTGGAGCCTATTTCGGAGTCTGTGTCTCCCTCTCTCTCTGACCCTCCCCTGCTCACGCTGTCTCTCTCTCTCTCCTAGAAATAAATAAAAATATTAAAAAAAAATAAAAAAATAAAACCCTGATGAAAATTCTACCAGATATGCAATCCAGGTTCCTCAATAAATAAACAGCAGGAGGAACAAATGAGGCCAGATGGGAATTGCTCTAGATTAAAGCATATAATCAAAGGTATAATGTGGTCTGTGTTCAGATCCTAATTTGAACAAATTGACTGGAAAAGACACTGATCAGACAATTGGGAAATCTCAACACTGATCGGCTACTTGGTACTAGTACTAGGTCATGCACGACAGTTTTTTGGTTTTTGTTTTTTGAAAGAGTTTTTAAGAGATCGATGCTGAGGTATCCACAAATCAAATAATACAATGTTTGTTATTAGCTTTAAAATGACCCAGTGGGGCTGGAGGGGGAAAACGGCAGGCGTGGACGATGTAAGGCCAGCCATATGTTGATAATTGTTAAAGCCAGGGGATGTGTGCAGAAGGTTCATTAACCTCTGCTTCCGCTTTGACATAAATGTCAGCCTCGAGGTGAAATACTTTTTAAACACCCTGGCCATCCTGACTCAGGTCCCCCGGCCAGATGGGGACTGGGGGTGTCTCAGCCTGAATTCGTGCTATGTGTTGATGCTCCGGCCTCCCAGCCCCTCTCCTGGAATGCAAGCTGCAAACCCCCGGAGCCCCCGGCCTTGGGGCGGCCCCCGGACTGCCCGAGCTTGTCCATCTGCTGTGGGCGCTACTCCCACCAAACCCCACCGAACCCAGGCGGGGCGCCCCTGGCCAAGCCCCACTCACCCCCACCCGGCCACCTCCCCGGCTACTCACACCACTCCTGGCCCGCCCGGGTCCGGCCGCCTCGCCTGCTCCGGCCGAAGCCACTCATTACTCAGGACGTTTATTATTAGCCTTAGATTTGATTAGTGCCTGAGCTGCACTTCCTGGGTTTTCCCCTCAACCTGTAGGATGTAAATCAGCGGCACCCCCTCCCGCCCCTGCACCTGCGTGTTAGGAGCCGTGGTCGGTGGCCTGGGCGTGCTTCAGGAGTCCCCAATGGCATTCTGCGGAGTCCCCACTGCATGCTGCCCACCAGGGCCCGCAGATCAGGGGGGACTGGCCTGGCCTTAAGATGAGTATAAACTGACATGACCCCGATCTGGCCCTGACCCCCCACTTGGTTTCCCACCCCCTGGCACACACCCCAGGCTGCACCCAGGACGACCAGCTCCCCAGCCTCCAGCCCTTCCCTCTTCCTTGACAACCTTTCTGTATTTCATTGCTGGATCATCTCCTGTTCTGTCTTCAGGCTCAACTGAGGGGCCAACTCCTCCGGGAAGCCATCCCTGGTTTCTCTGTGCTTCCTAAGCCCTATCCTCACCCTTATCAAAGCATTCAACAGGCAGACGCTAGAGCAGGACTGCCTGGGTTTGAATCTCAGCATGGCCACTTACCAGCAGGGAGCCTTTGAGACAATTCACTTAACTTCTCTGTGCCTCCATTTTCTCTTCTCATAAGTGGGTATAATAACAGTACCTGGCCCACAGGTTGTTAGGAGAATGAAAGGGGCTAGCACACTTAAATTCCTAGGGCAAGTTCTTGGCACATAGTCAGTTCTCAAGAAATTATATTAGCACTGTAGCCTCATCACACTATTGTAACTTGATTTTCATGGCTTCCCAACTCCCCTGAAGCCTCCGTGGGATTAAGAATGGAGTGAGACAAATGTAGCAGCCCGCGGAATTTAGGGAGGAAGTTTGAGGGAAGGGAAGGAATCAGGGAGGTGGAGGGGAAGCAGGAGGGCATCCCAGGAAGCAGGACAGGAGTGAGGGCAGAAGGGAGGGAAGCAAAGGGCTGATTTGGATGAAGGTGAGTACAAAAGCAGAGGAAATGCAAATGGCTGATAAGCCTACAAAACGCTCAGTCTCAATAATCAGACACAACTTCAACAATGAAACAGGAATTTTCATCCATCAGGTTGGCAAAATCTTAAACTCTGATAATACTGAGAGCTGGAGGTGACCTAGGAAAATGTGACCTCACGCCCTGCTGGAGGGAGGGAGGTGGTACCACCATTTTGGAGGGAAATCTTCCAGGACCAAAGAAAGCGTACAGCATACACCCAACCCACAACCCAGAAATTCTTCGCCATGTGCCACGGGTGCACAGGGATGTTCGCAGAAGCCAAGCTAATAATAGGGTGCATCTGGAAACAACATAAACGTCCAACCAACAGAGCATGGCTGGATAAAATGAGGTCATAACCAGGGATAGTATGCAAAGGAGATATTGCATCAATCCGGAGAAGATGCACTGTAAGCAGTGACATGGAGTGGTGGTCAAGACAAAGCACTGAGTGAAAGAAAAAAAAAAAGAGCTTGTAGCATCATACCTACCGTAAGACATCTTTTAGTAAAACAGAATCATGAATTGTATTCTCCGTGGCCCCATACGTAGTGTGCATGATGACGATAGTTGCCTCTAGCTAGGACAAGAGGGGACCAGGTTTGTGGGTGATAGTGGAAGGGAACTTCAGTCCTATCTGTAATGTTTTAATTTTTACACAGAGAAGATACTTATGTATTACTTGTGTCAGTGAAAAGTAACTAAGCCACAGCTAGGCTGGTAGGTAGATTTGTGAGCCAGAGGCAATCATAGACACTGTTGCCAGGAACTTTCTGCCTGTTGAAATGGGGCAAGCCGAGAGTCAATGTTGGATGCTCTCAGAGCTGGGACTCTCACCACCTCACCAAGCAGCGGGCTCCCAGGGGGTTAGCGCTGACCGTTAGAAAGCCGTCTCTGGCCTGAACAGCCTGTGCCTTCCAGAAACAGACCCGCTGGACTGACTGCTGCTCTCTGCAGCCATGCACAGCTCTTTGCTCAACGAGATAGCACTTCGGAGATGTAAAGCAGGCATAGGTTAGGCATGAAATGAAAATGAAATACAATCCAGTCTGATTTTTAGGGTGGCCAAGAACAGAATGGTAGGGTTTCCTCAGGTCTCATTGCTGCTCAGAGCTTGTTAACGCTGTTGTTCAAACACCTTTTACAGATAACGGATTTTATTTGCTTTCTATTTTTCTTTCATTAGAAGTGTAACTTAAATGAAGTAAAATTCATGAATTCTGAGTGTGCAGGTCCATGATTGTTTACATATGTGCGTACGCAGGCAACACTACCTGGATCAAGACTTTGGATATTTGGAGCCCCCTAAAAGGCTCCTCACTGCCCCTTCTAGGCAGTGACCCCACTGCCGCAGAATAGCCACCACCCTGATTTCTGTCCCCATAGATTCATTTTGCCTGTTCCTGAACCTTGTATAAGTAGGAACATACAGATGGGATTGTCCGCTTCTTTCTTCTGGCTTCTTTTGGTTGATGTTGGGCTTTGTGAAACTAGACAGAGCAGAGCTATGGGACATTTTTGGAAGGAGTTGTTCAGCCTCTGTGGGCCTCATTTTCTCCTGATCAAATGGACGAACACAAAGCTGAACAGCCCAGACCCAAGCTCTTGTGACTCCTCCCCACCGGTGCCACACAATTGCCAACAATTATTCATTATTGCTGCCTCTGAGCTCAGATTTCACGACCCATGAAAATAGATTCCCCCCCTCCTGGGGCTCTCTCAGAACAGGTGCTGGAGGTTTCTGAACCTCATTCTGAAACCAGCCCTCTCTGAGCCGTGTCCCAGGGGGGACGTCGGGTTCTAATTTTAAGCTCCACACTTAAGGGGACAGAAGAGTTGTGGAACCCAGGGTAAAGATCCCTCCCATACCTCCAGGTTTGGGAGGATTCATTCAAATATTTTAAATAGTTAAAATGAGCACATGGTAAAGAAAACTTCACACCACATGAAAGGGAATATAGTGGCAAAAAAGAAAGTTCTCCCACATCTAGATACTCTAGTCGGCCCTTTCCCTGCTCAAAGGCAGCCACTGTGACCAGATCTGGTTCACACGGGCTTCTGGCACAGCCCTGGCATTTACACGCATGTACGTGTCAATAGATGATAGATTTTTGCCTCAGCCTTCCACCCAACACACTTTTTTTTTTCCACAATTGCTGGTTTGTACAGATTAAACACACTGTAAGCATGTGAGTTTTTTTTCACTTAATATATCCTATCAATCAATTCTTACCTTTTAAAACAAGCTCTTAAAATGCCCGTTAGGAATAATAACAATGATGAGCATTTATGTGGCACTTACCATGTTGCAGGCAGTATTCTAAACCCTTTACATATATGTTCATTAAGTACACATTTATGTCTTCGTGTCTCATCGAATGGATTGAAATCCCTAAGTGGGAATTCCTCTCTCCTTGGTCACAGGAAAGCTCGTCCCATTGACCGATATTTTCCAGTGACACTGTTCCACTCTACACGAATGCGCTGGTGATATTTTGGGCCTGAGAAACTCTGCCCAAGCTCAGCCTTCTGGTCTCCCTGAGGCAGTGAGGATTTGTCTCATCCACGGCCTGGTGTCTGCCAACCCGCATCCCCTGGTCCCTCTAAGCCATACTCTTGAACCTTCTGTGAGAGAGTCCTAGAGGTAAGACAAAAGCAAGAGTGTCCCAAAAAGGACATTTCTTAGAAATGCAGTGAAAGCCCTGATTTTCATGATTGCAATTTACATATACGACTCAGATGTGAATTTCCTGTGTTGCTAATGTACCCATTCCCTCGATTTGTGCTTATTTCTCAGAAATGCTAAATACCTTCAGAAAACCCACTTCAAAGAAGCAGTCTCTACAGTCAGAGCCCCAAACTTTGGTGAGGAGACCTGGTTTCTCTTTCCATTTAAAAAATTTTCCCTCGAAACTTTTTATTGTGAAAAATCTAAACTCAGAGAAGAAGGAGAAGTAACGTGGAAGTTGTACCCACAGACCATCTTGCAAGGCTTAAGCTGCTGTCTACTTTCCTGTGGGGACACTTGAAAGCTTTGCAGGCTGTGACATTCACTCCTCAGCATTTCAGTGGACACCTCCCAGGACGGGGACATTCTCTTCCATAGACTTGTCATTTCCACTCCTAAGAAAATCAATAATAATTCAGAACATTTTCCAATATCTAGTCCATATTTAGACTTCTGCTGCTGTCCTACAAAGATTTTCTTGGCTGCCTCTTTTTTTTTTTTTTTTTTTAAGAAACCTCTACGGTGCTACTTACTTATTTATTAATGTAATTTAAAGTTTTTTTAGTTTATTCATTTGTTATTTCTGAGAGAGAGCACAAGTGGGAGATGGGCAGAGAGAGAGGGAGACACAGAATTCAAAGCAGGTTCCAGGGTCTGAGCTGTCAGCACAGAGCCTGATGGGGGATTCGAACCCACGGACAGTGGGATCATGACCTGAGCTGAAGTCAGACACTTAACTGTCTGAGCCACCCAGGAGCCCCTTGGCAGCCTCTTTTGAATCAAAATCCAGCCAAGGGTCAACTATGGCATTTGGTTGTTATGTCTTTTTATAGTCAATTTGGGGGTCTTGAATAGTCCCCTCCCTTTTGCTCTTTTTTCTTTCTTCTTCTTTTTTCATCTTGTCCTTTCATTTGTCTGTCTGACATGGACTCAGCCTCTGTCTTACAGAATGTCCGCATCTGCATCTCTGGTTGCCTCCTCTGCTGTGGTTTAACACGTTCCTCTATCTTGTATGAGATCCTGGAAGCTGAATGCTAGGTCTGCACACTCTCTCAGATTTGGGTCTCCCATTCTGGGGAAAAGATCTCCCAGGGGCTGGGGTGTTCTTCCTAATGAATCTCATCGAGTGGTGCGTGGTGTCACTGTCCCCTACATGGTGACGCCCAGATGGATCACCTGTTAAGCTAGTGCCACCAAACGCCCCCATGTAATGGCACCCTGCCCCCTCCACCAGTAGTGTCACCTGCAGGTGGTAC